ATCTCGCATGCTGCAGAAGCGGGTAGTTTGGTGGAGCCGGTCTGCATTATTGGCTCCACCGAAGAGGCCGCTATCGCGTCGCTAGCAGGGAGCAGCTTGAGCGCGGACCAGGCCCGCGCCAGCCACCAGATGTCGGCCCTCGAGCTCAACAAAGGATGAATTGGCGAGGCAGGTGACGCGCCGCGGCGCATTGCTGCAAACGGATGCTGTGAGGGAGAGATTGGTAAAACTTACAGTCGTCAGGGACAGCGCCGGCGTCCTGGATGGGAGTGGCGGCAGTGGGAGAACCCGACTTCCAGAACTGCCACCAGGCCTTCTTCTTCTGGGTCTGCTCGGCGTGCGGGTTGGTTCGGGTGTCGCGGTAGAAGAGGATGTACTTCTGGAGCGCCGTGTACTCGTCCATGCCCTCGAACTCGGTCATGGAGACGATGGACTTTTGCCGCTCAGCGGCGCTGGAGGCGCGGGGGCGCTCAACATCGTCGTTGGGCGCCATCTTGTCGAATTAAGGAATGCTGTTGCTCGTATGTATTATTATATCCGGTAACTCTAGGCACAGAGAAGGCTTTCCGAGGCGACTTGACGGTGAGGTTGAGTGTCAGGTCGAATGTGCTGTGCAAATGGGTAACTGCAAGCAGGGCCTTCTCTGTGAAGAAAGTGCAGAGGGTGCGGGAGAGGCTCTGGTTAAGTAGCGCGGCAGAAACTCACCCACGTATCAACCCAGGGAAAAACTCAGCAAGGACCGACCTTTGGCCGCTATGAGGGATTTATGATTGTCATAAAGCTAACCGCGGATGGAGCTTAGCTCGAGCCGAGAGTCCCGGGGGTGAATTTGTTGTGAGCGGCCCGTGCGCCAGCCGCTACATCATCGGCGCGCGACATGGCGCAGAGATTGGCCGTCGCAGCGCCCGGCCGAGCGTGATGCGCTGATGACGGAGTGCTTACTACGATGCTGTACGGCTGCGACTGCGGTTGCTGTGTGCGCAGACTCTGGTACCTCGACGGGCACCAGCCGACAGCAATTGGGATGTCAGCAGCCGGCGTCGCGATTCGCAGCGCGGTTCATTGCTTCTCCACCAGCGGCAGCAGAGATTAAGCTGGAGATAGCGCGACAGTCCGCGACAAGCGTGCAGTGCTGCAGGGATCAGCTCCCATGACGTTTGGCAAGAGCGACCGGCAAACAGCTCCTCCACGCACCTTGCTCACTCCGGACGCACCAAGCTTCAGCACTCATACGCAGGAAAGCTTGAGTGCTTGGCGCGATCTCAGCCAGAGTGCGAGGCATTTTCCCCCCGTACGAGAGCCGCGTATCCAGACTGCTCCCCACGCTGCCTGCGCGACTTTCCGACTTTCGCATTTGCACAATTTTCTTCTAGCGGCCTTCCAGACCCACGAACCAAGATATGCCACTTATCCCAACTCCCTCAACTGCAGCCGCCGCGCCATAATATCCGACTCCCCCCATGCAGCGCGCGCGACCAGCATGCCCAGATGAAGCAATTGTTTTCTGCCCCCCGCGTAATCGACCGCCGCCGCTTCTGCACAAAGGACCGCACTCCATGATTAAGCACGTGCCAAGCAGCTAAGGGGCGTCTCGGGGCCTGCCTCGAATCAGCCTTAGCTGTCCACCACCCGACCATATCGGCCGAATCAGAGGCCTCCAGCCGCCCAGCGTCGCCTGGCCAACGGCTCCCAATTACACCCCATGTTATGGTCATACAATACATGCTATCTGCGACTCCACACGTCCCATGGCGCCGTTGCGATGCTACGCACACACGACGTTGCGCAGGGTCCTGTCTGTTGAATTTGGATCGCGACCGAGATGACTTGGCTGTCGTGAGGCTGCAGGCATGGATGCGCCAACGCGCCCCAGTTCTTTCCAGACCGAGGAAGGCCTTCCCAACGAGGAAGCCGCGTCGGCGCGCCACGTGACGTCCTGCCTGTGGCTCGCTCTCGCCTCCCTTGGCTGCGCGACTGCCGATGCTTCGCCGGTACACCAGTGAGCCTCACCGCATTGCCTCAGCCTCCAGAACGAGTGCGGGAATAATCATCGCACCCACAAATATCACCCTCCGTCGCCGCTGCCGACACCAACCTCTCCATGTCTGCCCCGAGCCCTGAATCGCCAACCCCCACCGCCAATACCGCTGTCGGTCCGCGACCGTCACGCGCATTGCAACGCCATGTGCGTGTCATGTCGCCTGAAGACTTACCGGTCGAGATATGGCACATTATCATCATGTATATAGACGATCACTGTTTCGCCTGGTTCGTGCTGCGCCAGATATCTCCCTTTCTGGCTCATGTCGCGCAAGACGTCTTCGCGCGCATCGTCTCGCGTACCTGCAGTCTTCGCTTCGCTGGACAGACGCTATGGAACTTGCTGTAAGCCGCGTTTCACCCTGCGCTGCTCGGGAAACTTTCACTCACCATGCCAGTCCTCCTGATCTTCGCTGTGATACACAATCCCCATATCACACCTTCCGCGTGCAGTTGCCGTCGTTTCGCTTCCAGCCCTCGTCTTTTGTCCCCGCTAGCTCCAAGGCCAGACTTGTTCTGAAACTATCTTCACCGGCAACTGTGAACGACACGCCATCCTTGCGCCGGCCATATGCAGGGACGGTAGACCTGACGAGCCGCCTCACTCAGGTTTTCTTCCATCCCGGCGCTGTCGCAGACGCCGAACGCAACCGTTTGCTCAAGCAAGCCCACTTTGTGCTTTTTGATGACCAATTAAAGAGCGTCCGCCTGCCTTCACCAGCCATCGATGTTACCGCCCAGGAACTATCGCTTGACTGGCGCCAGCTCTGCGAGACCTTGATGCGCGACCAGTTCAAGTGTCGCTTTGGCTCCGGTGCGTCGGTCCCCTGGTGGAGAGAGTTTCCGTGACCGGTCCTGTATCACATACCAAGAGCCTACTTCACCATCGTCACGAGGCCATAACATGTTCTCCCGTCTGGGCAAGCGCACAAGTAATCTATGCTCGTTGCACCCCCAGATGGGTTTGATGGCCCGCCAAGTAGCAGATCAATTTTGCGTCAGCAACGGATCTGTGTAGATCGCCCTTGGCACTGGGAACACACACCCCCCGACGATCCAATGTGTCCGCCGTGCGCCTCTCCTCCTTCTCCGCCTGGGCATATTCCTTCATGCCTTCATGCCCGGGTCATTATCGTTCACCATCCGCACCTTACTTTAGACAAAGTATGCCCAGCTTCTCCAAGTGTTGCACTTGGGTGCGGCATTTCTGACATTGCCTTGGCTTCCCTCGCGGGACTATCCGAGCCGCGGACGTCCAAATTGGTCTTCCACGATATGATGCAGCTCAACCTCAATATCTTTCTTGATGAACACACACAACCGTTCATTCCGGCTACCATCTTTTACAATTCATTGTAGGGGCCACCTCGACGTCGTCTTGGTGTCAGCGCGAGCCATCACCAGCAGAACTCCGTGACTAGTAGTGCAGTTACCCCAGAGTATACACAGTCCACCTCCGTGGGGAAGCCAAGCGTTCAGTAGTACATGTGTTCCTTCTCCTCTCCCAACAGTGTGTCAACAGATTACATGTCTTTGTCCTCCGCTGCCAAGTAGCTCTGTGCGGACACACCAGCCTCGGCGGAGACCGTGTACCACACAGCATACATCTCCTGTCTGTGCAACGTCTTGGCCACTTTGTCTTGTTACTTTTCTTAATTAGACTACATCATGTGTTACCTTACGCTACTTCACTTCATATCTCTTTATATTCTTGCGTGCGTTAGATTTCATTTGCGCCAAGTCTATAGTCCTTCACTGTAGGATGCTGTGTTGTCACTGACGAACTTGGCTTAACATCAGACTATTGAGTACTTGCTGACTTCAGTAAAGGATTGCATGGAAATATGGGGGTTTCGACTTGGCTCTGCCATGAATGTGGCTTCTGGGACAAGACCATGTGTCAATCACAAGCATTGTGCCGTCTTATCCGCTATGGCTGCCAAGCATACCCGCTGCACCTAATCCACCTCTTACAGATCGGATGCTGAATTACAGAAGTCTTCATATTGCAATGTAATGATGTAACGTGTCTCTTGGAGTTATCGGTGATATCCAGATACGCTGTATTGTGTTGTGCTATGCTATGACAGCCTTTATGTGACCCATCGCACAACATAGTTCGTATTTTCTCTGATACCTGCGCAAATGGCACCGGATAGAGCGTGAATCCGAGTTTTCAAATGTGAATATGCCGTGTCATCCGCGTCGTGGGGGGGGCATGCTGATGAGGCAGGTTGTGCTGTTTGTCGCCTCGCTAGAACCACAATTTACTTTGCACCAGCAAACAGAACATTAATTCACTACACCACCAACTTTGTCCAGCACGCAGTCAAACGCTCGAAAATAGTTGAATAAGCCGTGAAAATTGGATTGCCGACGTTTCCAGTAAAGCCGATATCGCTGAGCAGGGTTAAAATAGATAGGGCTGAAGTTTCCGTTGATGTCAGCAGCTACCGGGTGCATCCTTATTCAACGCAGAAAAGGTTCACAACGGCGTGGCGACACCACAACGTCAAAACGAAGTCCGCCCGACAGACAAACGTTATTAATATGGTTCAATGGCAGGCTGTCACTCCAAGCAAAATATACCTTACACCAATTCACCGCATCGCCACCTCTACTACACGACACCCGTCCTCATCGCCGCCATCGCACTCTTCATAGCCGTAACAACATGATTCGCAACAGGCGCATGAGCGTTCTGTCGAAACAGAAAGATATATCGCACCATCACACTCGCCTCATCGGTAATAACATGAACACCGGTGGTAACGCTGTTTCCATGCCCAACGACCTCGCACCCAAGAATAACACGCATGTTGGCCAGCGCACTGTTCTTCCACGTCGAGTAGACAGGAGCATAACTAAACGATGTCGCAGGATCTTCCGCCATATAAATACCTCTTCCATACACAGCGCCCGTGCGTTGGAGAGTTGTACCCGAGCAGACGATTAGACCTTTAGCGAGGATTGCTGGGAGGCGGTCTAGTGATGTACCGTGGAATAGTACTGTAGTCTGCGTAGAAGGCCTCGGAAACTTTGCCATATACGCCGTTTCCAGCGCCGGACTCGCATTCGCCAGGACAAACTGATGCGTCCCCATCGGCAGATTCTTGATCTTACACAGCCCGCTCGCTGTGGCTATGTAGCCTCTATAGTGCGTACATGCCCATGAGATGAGCTTCTCAGCGTCGGAGTGGTATCTGGATAGGACGGTGGAGATTTGGACTGCGTCGCGGATGACAGACAGTTTGGGGAGACTATCAAGGATGGTTTTGACGGTGCTGATGGGGTGGATGGGACAATTGGGGAGGAGCTCGGCTTTGTTGGCCATGGCGGCGCTGTAAACGGAACTGAGAAGCATATCGACGGCGAAGATGTCGGTGCGGATTTCGGGGATGCGGACGTCGAGGGGGAGGGCGTACCTGTATTGGAAGTGGTTAGTGATTGTACTATTGACGCTTTCTGTTCGGTGATGACTTACCATAGCAGTTGACATGCGACAGTCCAACATGGTGTAGATCTCCGCAGTTGCGTGCTCCTCCCTTTGTGGCGGCAGCCGCAGGAAATGCATCTTTGCCCCATTTCTCCGATCATAGTCTGGACGAGGCCGTATAGCCCTCTTAACGATACGTTCCCCGCGCGAAGGTACCGATGGATATGCCTGTTCATCTGCCATACGAAGACGCTCTGCTTCGAGAAACACACATTACCGTGTGGTGCATTGGAAGTTGCAACACAGATCCACGGGAAATGTTGATCAGTCTCTATACCCTTGTCACTGTCGTAGTGCACACAGAACGCGGGTGGCTTGCTCCCATACCGATCGATGGTTAGCCGTAAGAGAAGGTTGTTCGCTGTGCTCGGTACGCCCATTGCGCTTCGTTGTAGTTCAGTGTAGGAAGCGAGTGTGAAGCTCATCTCAATCTCGTCATCATCGAGTAGTTCAACTAGATCGATGATGCCGGGAGGCAGTTCTTGTATTTCATCCTCCAGCAGATTGCTATCGGGTATATTGTACTCCTCGATCAGCAAGGCTGTCTGCAAGGGGTCTTTCGCTTTCAGTGTTCGCTTTAGCCCTTCGAGGCGTTCGGCTTCTTGCATGATCTCTGCTTCAATGCCATCCCAGAATTCTGTTGCTTTGGAGAGCTCGCTCTTAGGGATATTTTGCTTGTATACTTTTAAGTCGAGTAGCTGAGCGAGGCGTTCGATAACCGTTTTCGTCTCTAGTGCTACGTCGTCGTCTTGGATCCAACCAGCAACCATGACCTCAGCCACAGCTAGTGGGATGTCGTATCTTCGCTTGGCAATTGTTTGAAGGGGTTTCCTCTTCTTTGGCGTCAATGAGTCTGGTTGCGTCATGATCTTGTACTGTTTGGACGCGCCGTCGTAGTAGACAACATCTCTCGAGACGATCCGGGAAAGACCAGCTTGCTCGTGAGTAGGAAGACCAGGTATGTCCAGAAATCCACATCTCGCATCCCAAATCTCGTTGCAAGCTTCTATAGCCTCATATGGCGCGTCCAGTAGTTCAGATAAATACTCAATGACCTCGCGCATATCTGATATTCGACCGCATACCCATATGATAATGTTTTGCATAATTCTCTCGGCTGAATTCCCTTCCGCTTTTTGGAGATGTGAAAGCATGGCCAGGTTCCGTTTCCTTTGTGGTTCGGTTCCATAAGATAACATTTGACGTACTGCGAATGAACTGTCGGATACTTCTTCGAGCTTCGTTAAGGTGGGCCCGAACTTTATTAGTTGTGATACCCAAGTCAAAATCTGGGGCTGTAGTAGAGACGGTAACTCGTGTTTCTTGGTGTTATCGGCAATGATGTCGGCGAAGATCGTCTCCAGTGATTGCATGAAGGAGAGCCATGTCGCAGAATCCATGGTTTGGATCAAGTGGTCGATGATGGCAGTGCCCCATCGCGCTTCTTGCTTCTCACTTTGGTTCAGCCATCTTAGTAAGACCCCTCTCCAACATTTTTTGCAACCTTCTCGTGCTGCCAGGGTGTTCGTCAAAGCAATTATGGCTTGCCGTGAGTCCGTCTCCTGCACACGAACGATACGCACTATGTCTCGGACAAAAGAAGAAGATCGCCCCAAGCTAAGATCTACTGCGAGCTCATAGATACATTCGCACTTGTGTCCAGAAGGATTGTCGATATCTCTTGAAACCAGTATAGCTAGCATGCGCCGGTCGACATCATCCACACCTTCTCCGGTATTCTCCCAGACTTCAAGGATATCACGCAATATCTGCTCGGTAGTGTCGCAAGATACTTCGGCAGTAAGCAGGTGGTCGACACAGTGTTTCTCGATGACTTCTTCAAGTGCGTGCCGTGATTTCTGATCTTTCGCATCGGATGCGAATAAGAGAGACTCGGTCGAGGTATCAGGATCGAACCAAACGAACGTGTGCCTCGTCTGCAGTTCGTTTTGATGTAGATTTTGGGCGGCGACGTATATCTCCTTGATCGATGTCATTCGTTTAGCGCTGGGCCATGCGCCGACATTCGCTCGGACAGCAGGCTTCAGTCGCGGGAATATATGTTCAGATGCTTTCACGGCCATGCAAAATGTGTGTAGCTCTAGTAGAAGGCGTAACCAAGCCGAAGTCTTTATCTGATTCCTTACGACAGATTGGCACTCGCGAAAGCATTCTCCAATCCCCTCGAATAGCCAATCTTGGAGGAAAAGCTCGCGAAAAGTCGTCGCTCCTGGTGCGTCGAGGAGACCGAGGAGTTGTTGAAGAGCGTGGACATGGAGTCCTCCGATTTGCTCCTTCTCACACCATAGCTCGCGGATGAAGGCATGATTATCTTTCTCCAGTGTGCATGCAATCTCTAACGAAGCGTCGAAGAGATCCAAGCTGCTCTTCGTAATTGTTCCGCCGATGGTCAATGCTCGAAACAGATTGAAGAGGCTTTCGCCCTGGGGCAGCGAAGTGGAGACAGCGTCCAACCTTACCACGAGTCTTTCTAGGCTGGTCGATAAACATGCTTTTGTGTGCTCAGGGACCTCGATGATCAGGCCGCGGTAGTGTACCCAGTTCCTTTGTTCGCCATAGCCCGCTATCAAACCCTGACGTAAGGTCTGCCTAGTACCCGTGATCATATCAGGTCCTTCCAGAGCCGCGACGTCGAGGATAGTCGACATATGAATGGTGTCTATCATAGAGAAACGCGTGATACGATCAACATCCGGTCTCCAAGAGGCCCACATTCTCCAGGCCGGGAAGTGGTGGCGATCGAAGACAGTTTCTATATTGGTACAAGGTGAATTCGAAGACGACGATACATCCAGTTCCGTCATCCAGTCTACTGCTTTCTTAGCTGCTACCCAATTACATGTCAACCGGAAGCCATTCAACTGCTCCGCATAATCTTTTATAGCTCGTCGTAAGAGCACCGCGAAGTTATGAAGATCGACGTCCGTATTCTGGGTTTTGTGATTCTCTAAGGCTCGCTTTACGCCCTTCAGATAGCAGCCGGCTGCACTGGCGCCGGTGGTCGCATAGGGTAAGAGTGTGCGTGCCCATTCTGCTTGCAGACGTGTTACTAAGGCAGGGTTCCCTTCATGCGCAGCGATCACGCTCTGTAGCCAAGTGTCGAGGCCCCAATAGCTTCCACACATAACGTTCGTTTCAGCTCGTAGTAATTGGCTCAGGCTCTCCACGGACATAGCATGCGCTACGGAAGCTATGGCGACGTCTCTTGCCGGATGTGTCTGAACCAACATCGAAAGCCTCCTATCCGCCTCTTCTTGGCTGATCTTGCCTTTCTTCTTGAGATAGGTATCGGTGTGATTGCGGATGAAGCCCCATGGGAATCGACGGTGCGAGGGGTGTAGTACCCCAGCAGTGGCCTCCACCTCCGCATGCCATTCTTGACTGTGATCGGTCTTCTTGAAGATCGCCGTGCTCTTCAACGGTATGGCTTTTTTGGCCCATGACATATGGGAGCGTTTGCCGGTATCCTGTTCGACTGCAGTAGGAGGCATGACGGCGGTGGCCATGCTTGTCCTACGTTTATGAGGAATGGCCCTGCGCCAGGGGTGAGATGATAAAATGGATACAGATGAAACGGCTAGTTCGAGTCGAGTTACGAACGGTCGGTGTCAAGAGAATCGTGGGTATCGGTTACCGGCAGTGAAGCACGGGAACTTTCGAGCAAATTGCAGTGGTTGAGTTTGGTGCAATGGGGATTTGTACCAGAATCGCGCTTTCCTTGGAAGCGCACGAGGATAGTGGGACCCAGAGTACCTAGGTAGCATAGGGTTGGTAGTGTTCAAAGAGGTGCGGCCAATAGACCGTCGGCTGATGAGGAAAGAGGAACATCAAATCTTGGAGGCGCATAGTGGATGTTACGGCAAAGATACATGGCTAGTCTGGTATAGCTCACATGTGATGGGTGGCCTTTTTCTGCGGAGACTGACACTTTGGGGCTGCGCACAAGGCTGAACAGGGTGGCTTATACGGAAAGCACATTCACCGGCCCCCGAAGCGGCTAGTGCGACTGCGACTGTGTAGGCTAACCATGGTACGAGACAGCGGTAAGCGAAGCGACGAATATGGCAATCTAATGTAAGGAATGGTCAACGAACGCTATCTGGCAAAGTTGATCGAGCAATCGGCGTATGAAAAAGCCTTGTAGGATCGTGTGATCTAAGGATTTGTGACTACGGCGCCCGGAACCAGCCTGATTCAGCCGCAAATGTGCCTGAGGGTGGCAGACATTGTTACAAACACTGACGACCTTTATGCATATTGTTACCTCCAGAACGCAATGGACTGCTTAAGCGAAACGCACGGACAGTCCCGATTTGAGACCATGAAGCTGCTACAAGATATCACATGATCGAACAATTACCTTCGTCGGTGTCAGGAGCGACACCACGGTTCTTCCGCAGATGCGCAGCGGCTTGCCGTATGAAGTCGCCTGTCTTGTGAAAACACACAAGGTTCCCTTTCGCATCCTTCACTGCTTCACCGATAGACCAGTCATAAGACTGTCCAGTGTGAGAGTCTGTGGCAGGACACTTAAGACCTTCGATCGCTTTTTGCTCAAAATCTGGTACTGCTCATATATTAGCCTGTTGGTCGTCGTTGTGCCGAAGGAAGACCTACGTGTTGCAATGTATAGGAGGAACTCGTCTACTGCCTTGCGACTGGGGAGCGTATCGCTACTTTGATCTGCTAGCAAGATCGCTGAGAGCTTCTCCATTTGTATGATTGTTTCCGTCCGTACGCCCTTGGACATCTCGTGCTGCTCAACTCGTAGAGCTGCGAGAGACTTGCCTGTCGGGTGGAGGAGAATCCCCTTGACATCTTTCGGAGTAAACATTTCTCTGCTGAGAGGATTGCGGAGTACACCGCCATTTGCCTGGATAGCTTGAACAAGTTCTAAGGTTGGCACAAGGTTAGCATGGGTCTCATCGTAGTCCGTACATGGAAGTCACATACCATCCATCGACCACGCATAGTTGTCCTCGGTCACATAGAAGTCCTCTCTGGCGATGTCCTCAATCTCATCTCCAAGCATGGTTTCGTCATTGACGTAGTTCCTTTCCAGATGCTCATGTTCGACGTGCATAAAACCAAGCTCGCAATGAAATTTGAGCGCATCCGGGAGCGTTGAATCGATGGCGCTTCGGCGTTTGACTAGAGTATCACGAATGGTATCGATACTTGCGCCCGAGGGTGTGCCATATGGCGCGCGCACCCATTGAATCATGGCCTCCAGATCTGCGATGACCAGGTTCGTGGCCTCTTTTGGTTTGTCGCGGATATTTCGCGCCACAGAACGAGCGCTTGCAGGTGGGCGCATTCCACTGTAGACGGCCCCATTACTTCCATCCGCCATGAGATGGACTTTAGCGAGGTTCTTCGACTGGGGTAAACCGGCCTTCTTCTGGAGGGTCTGTAAACGCAGCAGATTCGCAAATACATGTGTTGCCTTGGCACGTATGTCACGATACCCAGTAACCAGGTTTCGCTGTTCGTCGTTTAGGTCATCTACTGAATCGCCTAAGATGAAGTCCGACCGCTTGGATCCACGTTTCGATATTGGTTTCGCCGTGAATGGTAAGTTCTTCAAGGGTTCGCCTCCGGAATGGACAGAAGATGCCTGTATTCGCTTGACTGCCTTCTTCTCGGGCGCTGGAGGCTCTGGCACTTTTTCGAGAATCTTTAAGAACCTAACAACGTCTAGGTCTGTGGGAGCTAGAGCCTGGAGCTTCTTGGCCTCATCTAATGCACCTTCCAACCATTCATTGCCGACTGCGATGTAATGTTCGATAAGCAGCTTCCTGGCTTCTATACCCGGGGGACTACGAGATATGCTTTCGTAAAGCTCTCCGATATAGATAATATCAGGGCCTGCTCCATGTGCGGCAACGCCTGATGTCGCGGCCATGACTGCTGAAGCACCGGTTGGATGAGGATGCCGTAAATCCGGACGTCAATCGTGGGCTGGATGTGAGTGCTGTGGGTGCTAGGGTGAGCCCGATCGCGCCTGCTTGTACCAGGTTGAAGCAATATGTCGGCTGAAATGTGTGTGTGATAACCTGTGCTCTGCTGGTCAGTGGGGTTGGTTAGTTGCATGGAGAGATCAAAAACTGGAAGCCACAAGGCTGAGCCAGAGCGGAATACGGCCCCCACTGCATGTGGTGACCGGTGATTGTCGAAGGCAGCGCTCGAGGTTGGCTGGCACTGCAGGTCCCAGTGGCTTAGCGCGACGCTAGTGCCCGCTATCCGCGACACTGCCCAGGTGCCTCGTGAATGCAGGTGAGATAATTACCCCACGAGAGGATATTTTTAAATGTTTGTATTCAAGACAAGACCAGCGATGCAGTAGCCTCGCGGTTCTAAGATCCAAATCTAGGGTATCAAGCTCTCCTAGGCCCGGTCAAATCGAACCCAAATCAGTACAGCAAATCCGCGAACTCTCCCAAAACTCCCTCCTTGCCGCCATCAAAGAACTCATGCATACCATCCATAGCCGCAAAGTGCTCGGCCACCTTCAAGCCTCTTAGTCGCTCTGCCTCGATAACGTCCCAGTTCCAATCCTTCGCCTCTACAGCCTTGGGCAGCACATCGTCATTCGGCCCTTGTTCTTCGGTTGTAGCCTCTTGGTAGACCCAGCCTTCTGGCTTTGCGGGAACCATATCGGCATCGACCAGCACATGCTCCGGTGGCACCGTGATCCTGCCTCGCTTGACGACATACTTTGCAATCGCAGTAGCATATATCGCGCTCTTGAGCTTCTCTGTGTCAACATCCTTGGCTGGCTTAGACTTCTTCCAAGGCTGCAATGTCCAGCTCTCGGGTTGTGCGACGCCAGGCTTGACCATGTGTGTGACGAGATAGAACCACTTCTTGTCCCAGCACAGAAGTCTTGTCCACATCTCGTACTTCTTGTACGGGAGGATCTCCTTCTTGAACAGACAGCTTATCCCTCCTAGCGCAATGTAATGCTTTCCCCGTGTGCCTTCAGTCGCACCTATTGCTCCTGCTACAGCGCTCTTCTTGGCGCCACCTAGACGACTGTTCTTTCTTATACCGTTGCGAATGAGCGCGGTGAAGAGGTGTGTACGGGATATGTCCATGTCGCTAAAGTATGTGCTGTTGGACTTGTGCATGTTGTAGTCTGTCTCGAGGAACGTGGTACGCGTTGAGGTTATGATCGGTTGGAAGAGCGCATGCGGAGGGATCGGGGTCGGTTGGAAGTATAATTGATAGAACAAGGCGCGGATGAAGCGTAGCTATGGTAATCGTCAGCTCGAAGTCGCGTGTCCTGCCGCTCCGCGAAATACGTACATGCCAGACAAATGGCAGATTCTTGAGGTTCGCCAATGCGAGGAGAATCGCAGCTATCCTCCATAGACCGCCAGGCGCGTTGTAGCCTGTCCACTTGGCCAGCGTAGCCATCAGGTTGCCTCTCATAGTAGGTTGCGACACGAGTGCTGCCATTGACGCGCCCGCAACGACGATGCTAGCCGTCTGCGCCATTGTGACCATACCAGAAGATGGCTATCGATCTAACGAGCGACAGCAAGGGATGGACACGTTATTATACAATCAGCGTCAGCATACGCCGCCCTGCCCCTTCGCGAGGGTTCAGGTGCCCTTCCTAATCGCGAGCCGAGGCTCGGAATGTTCCGCACTTGGGAACATGTGGATAGCTGCGCAGATCCGCATCCTCGATTCGCAACTTTGACCTACTTGAGGATACTCACCGTATCACCGGTATAGCTCAGCGAGTTAAACTCTGCCTTCTTGGCAGCAGGTGTCTAGCATGTACAGCGCATTTGACCGAGCCCGAACCGCTACGACGCTTCACGATCACGGATTCCATAAACGCACGTTCAGAGAATTCCCCAGAATACTAGATCCATCTCGCCGAAAGCCATCAGCATGAGGGTCTTGTATTTTGGTCGTGGGCAGTAAAGACGCGCGAAGCATGTGGCTGCGGGTCAGCCTCCATGCAGCAACAAGCCCTGGAGCGCGCTTTCCCTCAGGCTAACAATTTAGCCGCGGAGTCTCCTGGCCTTCACTTCTCAACTACATCCATGACCGTGCCTCTGCTTCAAACGCTGATTGACTCTGAAAAGGTAGTCGCTGTACGGCCGCTTCCCTCCGTCTGTTAACGATCGATCTTTATCGCGAAACAGACACGTTACGTCAAAGCCGATCTCAGCTTTGTCGGTACAGGCGACATCCAGGCCATGCGGCTGCTCAACGTTAACACCCGGAAACTGGAGGAGTTCTTCGGTGATTCGATCCCTCCATACGCAATCTTATCGCATACCTGGGGAAAGGAAGAGGTTTCGCTACAAGATTTGTCAAGAGAAGGGCACCAGCAGAAGCAAGGCTACGGCAAGATAGAAGGGTGCTGTCAACAGGCGATCAAAGACCGCCTACTCTGGGTATGGGTTGACACTTGCTGCATCGATAAGACGAGCAGCGCGGAACTTTCCGAAGCCATTAACTCTATGTTCCGCTGGTACCAGCATTCTAGGGTGTGCTATGCCTATCTGCAGGATGTGCCCTCTGGAACAGATGTTTACGCGCAGGGTTCTGCTTTCCGAAAGAGTCGATGGTTTACTAGAGGCTGGACACTACAGGAGCTACTTGTTCCCCAAAAAATCGAGTTTTACGACACCAATTGGACGCACATCTTTCTTCTCAACACCATTAACTACCCCACCACGGGCCCAGTCGACATAATCAGCGATATCACGTCCATCGACTATGCCACCTTCCGCCACTACAACGTCTTGTCCCCTGTTTCGTCTGTACCGGCAGCCTGTGTATTCTCGTGGATGGCGAGGCGGAGCACTACTCGTGTGGAGGACGAGGCATATTGTCTGCTCGGTCTGTTGAACATAAACATGCCGCTGTTGTATGGAGAGGGCGAGAAGGCTTTCATCCGGCTTCAAGAAGCTATTTTGAGCGGTTCCGATGACATTAGTCCTCTGGCTTGGGGATATCACAGCCCTTACATGCGTAATATGTCATACCTTGCAAGATCACCAGCAGTATTTATTGGCTATCCGAAAAAGTATGATTATCGCAGGGAGCGAATACCAACGATACATACTACCGTCACTGGGCATGGCTTGCACATTGAGCTTCGCATGATCCTCGTCGATAAACGAAGCAAAGTGTGGTTAGGCATCGTAGAAGAAGGGGATCTTGGCACTGGTACAGGTATCGCCATCGTTCTACAGCAAATCCGGAATGTAAATTTATTTAAGAGAGTCAGCGGTTGCCCACCCGTTTCCATTCAAACGACAAGCCTATCCCGACGCGCAAATTGGGCCATTAAAAGCAAGCAGATATATATCGCGCTTGATTCTGACTACCGCGTAGATAGTTGGAGGACTGACACTCGTACCACCTTGGAAAGGCTCTTATTTCGAACTTTTGTATATCAAGCTGTACAGTGCGAAGTGAGGTTCTCATTCGCGCCCGCGACTGGGTACTTGTTCTCGAGCTCATGGCCGCCACCAGTCTCAGAATCCTGCCTTGACGGAGAACCCGTGTCGTTTCATTTTGGGCCAACCAGTAGCGTGGTCTACATTATATTCGCCAACGAAAGGCAGGAAGGGTTTGCAGTAAGAATTGAGATTGAATGGGGCAAACACGGGGCAAAAGTCGTGAAACCGACGTTTTGTGTACTTGCCGACCAACATATCCACACAGCTCTGGAGCATTGCTGTGGAACTAAGCTCGGCTCAAAAGTCCCGCAATTCGCCAAAGATATGCACTGGCAACACTACTTCGCTGCGAGGAACGTGACTACCAACGAGATTGGTTACGTGTACGCCACAGACGGACCACGGAATCGAAGGGGGGAGATCGAATCTTGTGATCTTTGGTGGAAGAAGGGTTTCTACTCCTAAGGAGGACCAGTCAGTGGTGTATTGTAGCATTGAGAGAGCATAGAACAGCGAAGGACTACACGTTATACAAGATTGGAATGATTGCATGGCACAGGGTGATAAATGTTTCTTTACATTTATGCATATTCGTTCCTACTACATATGCAACAGCATATCCATATCCATAACCAAGGAAAAATCGCAAATGGGTATATAACTGAGGGCCGACTCGGCCCGATGCCCGTCAGCATGTACAAAAACGCCTTTTGTTCCAGTATGCCGCTCGTCATTAACTCAATTCCGGAATAGTGAGCCCCAGGCTCCTTTCTATCACTATCCCAAACCCGTGGGGCTTCTCGTGGGGCCATGCCTGTCCGCTGTGCACAACCACTCTGGGGTGTGCAAGGATGGCTCGTTACGTGGGGCGTGAGGCGTGCTCGTGCAGCACATGGGTAGGGGTATATGTGTCCGTAGATGCGCCGACCGTAGTAACGCCTGCCCGTTCGTGATTACTGATGTATCGTTCGTTGTGAATCGTGTTGAGTGTTAGAAAATCGATTGTGCACTCAGCCTGGCGGCGGTGGTCGACGGGGAGACTCGCTCGTTCGTCGGGGTGTTGAGACACTATCTCGCTGCATGTCTCTCATCGCCTCGGCATAGTCCTTCTCCGCAGCCATGTCTCTGCTGTTACTGTTGACCATGTCGTCGATAAACTGATGTTGTTTCTTCTGCACGGGTTGTGCATCTGCTCCTGTAGGGCCATCGCCCAACATGCTGGGCACGATATCTTCTGGATCCAGCCCAGCGTTTGAGTCTCGGTAATCCGGCTGGTTGGGGAACATGACAGAGTCTTTTTGAGGTCTTCGCGCACGTTTTGGCTTCAGCGGGAAGTTGCTGGGATGGATGTAGTCGCCGTCTGGGCTGCGCACATTCTGGAGCGCGTTTGCTTCCCTCTCCATCTCTTCCCATGTGGCGACGAGGTTGTTGTCGTTACGACTCCGGCTGTCGCTCGGGTCACCCGAGAAGCTGCCTAGTCGACTGATCCGGAAAGCTCGCAGGCGGTCGAGCGCCACCTTGAAATCGTCGAGAACGACGGAATCCGTCAGGCACTTGAATACGAATGCGAACTTCCAGAAGGGGTTGATGCCCGTGGCGCCTGGGAGTTTGATAGCCTCGGTGACTGTAGAAATGTCCAGGACGATGAAGACGATGCTGAGTAACATGGACAACAACATGATACCAAAACGCGGCGAGATGCGTACGATCTCCTTGAGGCTCAGTTCGTATTGCGTCTTGATGACCCAGAAAAGGTAGATGGTGGTGAGAATCCACCAGGGATCGCGGCATAGCGCCTCATATGGTCGTGTTTTCAGGAATGTCTTGTTGACGCCATGAAAGTAGGCGAAGTTGGCGTATATCTCCACGACCCAGTACGGTTGAACAAGCACTACGGTGCCGATGAAGATATAGCTGACAGGTTTCGAGAGGAACGGCTTGATCTTCATCCATGCAATGACATTGTGCAGAGACCAGGAGGCGTTCAGGAAGATGGCGGCGACGGAGAGCCACCAGGCGTGGACTGGGCTGGGGAAAAATAACCAGAATCCTTGCCAGATACCAAGGATGAGCTGGGCTTGATTAGTATGGATGTAAGCAGAAATGTAAATGTGGACTCACTTCAAGTAGAATCAACTAGATGGTTGTCAGCGGTGGTCACTGCTTAAAGAGGGTTCTTACTAACCTTGTGCAACAGGACGCCGCGCCTCATGTTTGCCAACGTGATGAACGCCATAATGATGAGCGAACCCACGAGATAACCTTGCGCCCATGCTTCCAGAATGAGTTCCTCCGGGTTGCTGGGCTTGGGTACGACCTCACCCTCATTCCATTTGCGCTCGATGTCGGGTATGGGACTCATGGTGTTGGCAGAATTTTCGAAGGTCGGTTCCGAAAGCCGGGGCGGATGCCGAGGAAGCGTGCTGTGATGTCACAACGCGAAAAGCTTCAAATTCGATCTCAACACTTTTACCATGGCAGGCGTGAGGGGGAGCGACAACGATGGGTTTATGAGGAAAGACGGGGAATGAGTACAAGAACGAACGGGCGCAGCTGGGCGTTTCTCGTGGCGCGTCAGTTCTCCGCATCTCGCCATGACATTTACGGACGATGGTCATCCTGGAGGCTCCGGGGGCCGAGTCCATGCGTAATGGTGCTTTGCCTAAGGGAGGCATAGTGTGATTGAATCATGGCGGTGGCGCCCAGTCGGCAATTGGGACCACGCGGGCCAAGAGGTGTTTGGTGAAGCTGTGAATAAGCCAGCCGTTGTCGACTTTGCACCGAGGCCTAGAGCCATTGGCCGGGCCGGCAAGTCTTTCGCTGACGCGCCGCCGCCACGAACGTCTGCAGTGTTTGCACCATGACTGCCGCAATGGAATACTGAGGCATGGATTGGATGCGCACCTTTTGCGCGAGAACCAGCTGTTGCCGATGCGGTCAATGTCAGCACGGAACTGTGTACCGTGCAACGGCCGCATGCGTTCTGGTGCCTGGACGGCTAAAATTTGAAGTTCAGCACGCCTTGACCGGAAGCGGCTACCGTCGATGTCGATGGCTGCCAGCTGCATGGATGCTGCGGCGGGTGAGCGACATGGGACCCAACAGGCTGGTCCAGCGTCCTGGAATCTGGGATCGAAGTCTATCTACGTTGTTCATCTCCTTGCAGTTTTGGTGTGTGTTTCGTGTGCGAGGCTGTCTACCTTTGGTGGCAGCGCGACTAGATGGTAGATGATGGTGTGGCAGTATCTCAGAGAGTGTGTTTCAGATGGGACAATGTTTCAGATGAGGCAAAGGACGGCTCTGTAACGTGACAGTATGACCACCGCAAGAGGGAAAATATTGCGCTTCAGCTTGCGATAGAAGGCTATCGAGTCCTCGACGTGAGCTGATATTATCCGGAGGCTGTGAACAGCTTGTTATGGTGCAAAGACGCGTCCCGACGATGCAGCTGACGCAGTACCAGACGTAAAGGGGACAATGGTCTATAAACAATGAGGCATGGCATGCTATCGTCACTGACGCCTTCCGGCTTACCAAGTACAGCAGAAGGTCGACTGCCGGCTAGACAGCCTCTAGATTTCAGGATCGGCAGGTGAGGCCAGCACGCGCCAGCCGATGTGGTTAATTTCGCAGGTGTCATCAGAAGCCCAACCATGGAAAAAGTAGCTTCGGGTCCCAAATGCTATATTGGCGGCTACAACTGCCTAGCTGGCGACATAAGTCTAAAGTGACGACCGGGTCTGTGGGCCATCCGTGGACATTGGCTGCATCATCAACACAGACTTTCATTTCATGGACCAGGGCGAGGACATGAAGAAACAAAGCGGCACATATGGCGAAGTCTGTCGCAAAGGTAGCACTGCGTAGTCAGCATGAGGATGTTCGACTCATAGTGATGCACCCGTTCGAGGCACATGGCAAGGGCATGGCAAGGCTGGGGAAACGCGCTAGCTGCCCCGCTGAAGTCATAGAGAATCGCCGCGTCAAACATTGTTTGCGGCCCACGACATCCAACAACCGCCGCAGAAGCATAGGCGTTCAACATGTTCAAAAAGAAACCCACTGTAGGTTGCAATCTCGCACATACGCTGCACTGACTAACGCCCCTTAGATCAAGCCCCTCTCCCCCCTCAAGTCGAGCGACCGCCGCAGGACTGCCGACCAGATCATCGCCGACTTTGGCATAGACATTCCCGTAGATGCCGATGCGAATCCCGAAGACAAGGCAGCTTCGTCAACCGCCGGCCTCACAGCACTGCGCAAGTCGCTGCTCCCCGAGAATGCCCTGTCCGCGCGCTTCACCACAACCGCGGGGCCAGACCTCAAGCAGGTGTCGGGCACAATATACGTAGGCAGCCATGAGGGCACCAGCGGGGAGCAGAGAGTATTGTGGGCAAAGGTTGGTGACAAGATGTACCCCACCGTCTATACCCTCTGGCACAACCCAAGGATAGTCCCGTTGCTCTATACGCCACTCGTCGTGGTCGAGAAGATGCAGGGTGGCGCCGACCTGATGACGCCTGGCCTACAACGAGGCCCGCCGTTCCCCAAGAAAGCGACCAAAGGCGCAATCGTTGCCATTGCAAGCCTCGAGGCACCGACAGTTCCCATGGCGGTTGGCGAGTGCGTCATTGACGTAAGCGCGTTGGGCAAAGTCCAGGGCACCAAGGGTATGGCTGTGTCGACGTTTCACTGGGCAGGCGACGAACTATGGTCTTGGAGCTCGACAGGTAAGGCAGGCACTGAGCCTCCTGATATCCTCCAGGGCTGGGACGACGACAATGGTGAGGAGGCGAGTCTCGCTGAACGCACGGCAGCCGTCGATCTAGACGATAACGAAGGCGGTATCACTCTCGATGCTACCCCGACCGAACGGTCAGAGGCGGAGAAAGCACAGGGCGTACAAGGCGAAGATGCGCCATCCAACAACGACTTCATTGATGTCCTTGAAGATAAAGAGCTTACAACCAAGGGTATGCATCCTACATTCAATCACATCAACCAGCAGCTAACAGTCCTCAGAAATCGATGAAGCCTTCAAGAACGCATTCTTGTACGGTGTCCGATACCACATGGATCACAACAAGGGCCATCCCTCCTACGGCCTCGACTTCCCGATCTCGCAGACAAACGTCATGTCCACGCTCGTCCTACCCTTCCTCCCTACCTATACCCCTGCGCGAACAGCCTCACTACAAATCAAGAAGACAAGTTGGAAGAACCTGAGAAAGTTCGTCCGGTATCTGGACAAGCAACAAATTCTCAAGTGCAAAGACCGCGACGGCAATGAGGTCGTAGTCCTTGACATTGACTTCAAGGACCGCCAGATCGAATCGTTCGTTCCCTACCGGCTACCGAAGAAAGATGCGCCAACCGCAGCGAGCGTCAACGGGAAGCCAGCCGCGCCTCTCTCCGCCGAGTCCTCCGTAGGCCAAAAGCTCAAGCTCGTCTCCGTACTCCGACCCAAAGAGAAACTCGCACCCATCCTCAGCGCCTCCAAAGCCGATCCCCGCGGCCTCTACACCCCATCAGAGCTGAAGCAACTCCTCATCGCCTACATAGAAGCCGAGAACCTAATCGACCCCAAGAACAAGCGCCTCATACGCATAAACCCACAGCTCGCAGACGCGTTACTGGGCTCCTCGGCCGCCGACAACGCCGCCCTCTCCTCAGGAGCCATGCCGCGCGACGCCCTAGCCGAGCGCATGGTCGCCGCCTCCTCCCCCTTCCACGCCATAATCCGCAACGACGCCGACATCTCTGACGCGAAACCCAAAGCCGGTGCGCCACCCAAGATACAAATCACCCTTGAGACGCGCAGCGGCAATAAGACTGTGACGAAAGTACATGGGCTGGAGCCATATTATATCTCGCCGCAGCCGCTCGCTGATGAGCTGCGCAAGACGTGTGCGGGTAGCACGAGTGTGGATAAGCTGCAGGGGTCTAGTCCCAAAGCACCGGTTATGGAGGTCATGGTGCAGGGGCCACAGAAGGATGCTATTATGAAGGCGTTGGAGAAGAGGGGGGTGCAGAGGAATTGGGTCGAGGTTGTGGACAAGACGAAGGGAAAGAAGAAGTAGATGTATATATGCGATAGGTTTGCAAGCAGTTGAATGATACCCAGCTTGTTTTCTCCATGTTCTGTGTCTTTTGATGGCTGAGTAGTGACTGGAACATGTCTTTGAGGCGATGGATCCTTCTTATTAAACATGTGGAATGGGTTGCTACTATCAGAGGGTATCAAATTTCCGGGGAAAGAAACGGAAATGTTATCGTGAGACCATGCCTGATATGGGCAAGCGAATTGACCTAGTCTCTTAAGACACGCCAGACTTCATACAGCCCAACACGACTTCCGTGAAAGAATATGTTGAGCCCTCTTCCACCACTCTTCAATCGTTACCGGGACATGTTTAGCATCGCGCGTAGGTTCCTAGCCCGTGCGCGTCGCGTTACCGTCTTTGTCCGCTCCCTTCGCACCCACATCCCCTGCCATCACGTCCTCAAAGAAGTTAAACATGCTATCCTGCCCACTCTTCTTAAACTCCTTGATACACTGCCCAGGTGTGATGACTTCAGCAATAGTCTGGATCTCCTGCTTCCAGTCCTTCACATACGACGCCGTCGGCTCGGTATGTACAACGTAGAAGTGGCGGTAGTCGCGGCGCATATCGACTTGCAGTCCAGCGTAGTAGCGTATCATGTTCAGATTGGCGGCTTGCTGGCTACGTTTGAGCGTGTTGAAGTAGTCGACGGGTTCGCATTCTGCGATTGCACGGCGCTCAGAGAGGATGGGGTGTTTGTCGGCTTTTAGGCTGAGGGGGGCATCGGGACTGTCTTGCTCGATGAAGTTGGGGTTTATGAGGAGAGAGTAGAGCTCCGCGGCACTGTGTTGAAGTTAGTGATATATCCTTTTATTTCGAGTGTAGTGAACGGACCTTTGTACATCAGGATCCCCAGCCTGGAGCTCTGTTGCTTGGTCTTCACAGTAGGCAAACAGATGCTCCATCAATTCCGGGCGGACACACAGACGCCAGAGCAAGCTGTTCTCGACGATCTCTGGAAACTGAGCTGATGGACCTGCGAGTTCCTTGAGCTTCTTGATTTTCGCCAAGAAGAGCTTGATAATACACAACGCATATCTTGGCATCGCTTCGAAGACTTCGTCCGTGATGTAGATAAATCCACCAACAGGAAATATCTCAATGCGATCATTCCGGAGCACAGGTGTCTCTTCTGAAGCATAGTCATATTCGATACCTGGTTGAAGCCCGACCGACCAGAGACGCACTCCTCTACGGAGGACTTGGCCGAATCCGGGGATACTTGTGAAGTACTCAAAGTCGGGATGTGCCTAGTCTGCTTAGTATTCGTTTGTTCCAGGAGTGTGTGATACGTACGATGATGATACCCGTGCCTCCTTTCAGGATTTGTTGCTGAAAATCTGCCCATCCGCCTGCATAGCTCGCACTGCTGACTTGGACATGATGCATCAAGAGCCATCGAGTGATGATTTCAAACTCCACAAAGTGATCTTCAGGGTGAAAGAACAAGAAAGCCCTCCTTTCTACCGGATCGATGGTTGTTTCACCATCGTTGGTCGCAAACATGTCTTCGAAGTCGAGCTTACTGACTGCGCTTATTCTCTCTTGCAGCTCTGTGCATCTAATATCGACAGGAGGGAATTCCATGGGTGGAGGTGGAGGAGGTGGCGGCTGGAACGGTTGTTGCGGTTGTTCGAGTGGCATGGGAGAAGGGGAGCGTGTTACTTCACCGGCAACGTCCGGCTGAGCAACATCATCGATGTCCATATGGACAGACGCATCAGATTCATCAGACCCATCCGCCGGTCGAACAGGCTTCTGGCGAGAATCATGTGGCCCATCCGCGACGATACCAGTATCATAATGTTGGAAGGCACAATCCTGGTCGGACTTACGACATTGAGTGTTTTTCCAGTACCAGCACGTAAGTTGGTTCGGTGCCAACGCTTTCTTGGTGAACCTGTCTCCAGACTGACTTTCTCCACCATTGAACTCCGGCCGCTTCTCAGGATCAATTCGCACATCGGGAACTTTAGGATCAGTGTGCTTCATCCACCCAGTGTTGTAGTGAGCGTAATTACACTGTTCGGCAGACTTTATGCAGCCCCGTTCATGGTTCAGCCAATAGGGACAGGTGAGTGGTGGCCTGCGATATTTACCAGGTATGAACCCTTGCATATCCCCCAAGGGATAGTCACGGCCATTTTCATCCTTATTTCTATGCATGAAGCGACATTCTTTCGGACCTCTCGGGCAATCACGGCTAAGCCTCCAAGAATAGCATACTAATGGGACTTTGTGGGTTTCCCAGTCTTCCAAAGGTAGGTTACCGTCAGTAGACTGTCGTCTTGGGGGAACGTCGCTGTTGGAGTCTTCTGTGGGTCGCCTATGGCTAGGCTCACGACGACCGTATAGATCATCGCGTGGTGCGCGCGGGAGCGAGATAGTGGTACCGGGTGGGGCGTTGACAATCTGTAGAGCCGAAGGATCAGGTGTACCCTCCCTGGCAGACTTCTTATTCGCCGCCCCTCGTCCTTTAAGGTTGCGGAAATGGGTCTTGTTCAATTCAGAGATCTGACGAGGCGGAGGTTTCGGTTGGTTCGTGAACTTGATGGCGCCATTCTTTCCTGTATCGGACGTGACATTACTAGGACTGACCTGCGTAGTGAATGAGACTGATCTCTTCGCAGTACCGGGATTTGCGCGGGCCGGAGTTATATTGGCAGAACCTGTAGCGGCGCTTGCAAGCTCACTGGTGGTACTAGCCCTCCGTTGCGTGGGGACCGGGTCGACATGTCCGGTTCGAGAATGTGGATTTGATTCCGATGGCGAAGGCTTAGCTGGGCTCGGATTAGTAGCTGACTTCCGCTTTGGAGTGGTTGTAGCACGTTTCAGTGCTGTACTTGCTGACTGAGCTGACTTTCGACGTAGCCGGCGCTCAGTACCAGCGCCCTCTGCACTAGTTGACTTGTGCTTTGTCTTCTTTGAGGTCATCGTGATCTCATCGAATAATGAGTCATCCGTCAACTCTGCTTCTTCAGAAGAAGACAAAGATGAGTCTGACTGCACTACAGGAGGCTTGCGCGCTCTTGGAGGTTGTCTTCTGGGACTTTCGATGAACAAGTTGTTGAGTTGACTGGAGTCTACAGCTTCTCTTTCTGCCAGTGTAACTTCGAGGGGCGGCACACCTTCATCTGCCGCTGCTCGAACTGCTGCCTCGAACCTGCTTATGTTTTGGTCGCATAGCTTCCGGAATTCAATCCCGCTCATTTTCGATTTCTTCAGGTTCCATAGTTCCAGAGCGGTGGGAGCTGGGGGTCCTGGGGGTTCTGGGGCAAGTTCGGGGTCCGTTGGATCATCATTAACATTTTCAAAATTTGATGCTGGTTCCCAAGTACCTACATAACGTTAGGAAGATGCGATGAATGTTCAACCTTGTGGAATGCTTGGAGAGTATAGGTCAGGGTAGTGTCCCAGGCAATACTAAAGGACTGCGAAAGACAAGATCAAATGCTTACTGCTTTATAGCGGGTTAGCTTGGCTCAACGATCATTCAGCATAGACTTACTCGGAAAGTGGATAGCCCTCCCACTTGGTCAAGTACTTTATGCCCTTCCCGAAGGGCGCGACGTCCCATTCATTTTGCCACTTTTCTGCTATGATACATTCCACGTCAAAAGTACCCGCCACTTCCTCATTGTCTTCGGCAGGGCGTGATGACATTCTGGCGAAAGCCGTAGAGATGAATGGGGATGCAAGGTCCTGATTGGTTGAGAGCAGCGGGAGGACGCTGATACAACGCGCAGGTCGAATTTTCCGACACGCGCCCGATCGCTGTAGTCGCTCAACACGCGATAAGAAGAGGCTGAGTTATTGCCGCTATTTGGCGAAAGGCGACTTGTTTGCGGTGGTGCAAGCAACCACGGGCGTGAGGTTGCAGGTGAGGGCGCGGAGAGTAGCGTCTCGCTTACCTAATGCGGCATGGGCTCGTTCGCCCTGAGTGCTGGCTGGTGCTTTGTTGGTGGAGCAGCGACTCCTCGAGGCAGCGAGATAGCGCACCTGGACACTTCACCCGCCACGACGACCGTACTCTGCCTCTCTGCTTGCCCTGATACCCCAACGCTATCCAGGCCCTGCTCCCGAGACTCTCGCTGAATTAGCGACTGAGACGTGCACCCGCCGCCCGCCTGCCACTCTTCCCCACCTGCCTACCGCAACAATGGCGAACGACGAATATGACGTGAGTCCCCGTACGCCAGCAGCTGTGGGCTCTGCATACTGACCGTCGTGCCTGTAGTTTCTCTTCAAGGGTACCGCCTCTCCCCCCGCCTTACTCGTCCTGGTCTCGTCGCCCGCTAACCCCCGCAGTGGTGCTCATCGGAGACTCAGGTGTCGGTAAATCCAACCTGTTGAGTCGATTCACGCGCAACGAGTTCAACCTTGACTCCAAGTCGACCATCGGCGTCGAATTCGCTACCCGCTCCATCCAAGTCGACGCAAAGACTATCAAAGCCCAGATCTGGGATACCGCAGGCCAGGAGCGGTACCGCGCCATCACCTCCGCATACTACCGTGGCGCTGTCGGCGCTCTGCTTGTCTACGACATCAGCAAGCACCAGACATACGAGAACGTCACGAGGTGGCTGAAGGAGCTGCGCGACCATGCCGACTCCAACATCGTCATCATGCTCGTCGGTAACAAGAGCGATTTGAGGCATCTGCGGGCAGTGCCGACAGAGGAGGCCAAGCAGTTTGCGAGTACGTGTCTCACTCTATGACATTGGCAGTTGTCCAGATAGTTACTCAGAGACGACGTAAGCTGACACTCTCCAGGTGACAACAACCTCTCCTTCATCGAGACGTCCGCCTTGGACGCCAGCAACGTCGAGCTTGCTTTCCAGAACATTCTCACAGGTACGCCCGTCTCATTATATAATACCCCGCAGTTAATACAGTGTTCGGCGCAAAGTTTGGCGTCACAGTCCAGAGGCTGGATAGACATGTGCTTACACCGCCACTTCCGTCGTGCCCTCAACGCCGAGTCACCAGTACGAACTGCTGCTAACACTACCCAGAAATCTACCGCATCGTCTCAAGCAAAGCCCTCGACCAGGGCGAAGGCAGCGGCCCAGTCCTCGGCAACGACCGCAAGGTGCTCGAGATCAGCAAGTCGGCCGACGCGGAGCAGAAGAAGGGATGCTGCTAGACGACGACGAAATCCACAAATACCCTTCACCTACAAACTGGTTGCGCCGGGTTACAACGCATGTTTTTGGCGGAAGCAGCGAAGGGAGAAAGCTCGGATATAGCGAGCAGGACTACGATACAAATGTGCCTTACGTTTAACGCGCGGGAAACAACATGAGATGATGCAAATGCCCAAACTCGGCGTCCAGGAAGTCGCTCACTTTACGTCTGCTTTGTGTCTGTTCGGCTACAGGTGTCGGGGTCTCTGCTTGGTTTTGCATGCTGCGAGAAGCATCTCTTTTGTTCGGTTCGGGACTGGAGGCGATAATGCGAATAGTGGCTGTATGTATGGCGTGATTGCAATGTCAGCTCATGTTCAGATTATCTCATGTAGCCACCATGGTCGTTGATTGTACAATCGTAATGTCACGACGGGCTGACGCGTCAGCAGACTCTTGGAGCGGCGGTTGTATCACATGTGACGAAGTAGATCCACGGCTTAGTATCTCTCTATCGGTCGTCTCGGCAAATCGAGCACTTGACCACTGACCAGTGACACTCGGCACGTAGATCGGTCCTTTGCGCATCTCGATCACCGTACCGAGCATCTCTTCCGGGCCACTCACCAAGACAAAACATCACTCGGATCTCGACCCAAAAGTTCATCTAAAAACAACAAGTAGATTCGTAAATGCTCATGAAACGCCTATCCCCCTTCTTCCATTCATATCATTGGGCCGCCAAGTATCCTCTGCCTTCGTCCCAGGAGGCAAGTACTGCGAGCCCTGCTCAGAAGTCCTGCGATAGCTCGAACTGCCCGAATCATCGTGTCTCTTCTCATCTCGTGACTCGTGAATACCCGGCATGGAGTACGTCCCTGGATCCTGCATGGAAGACGGACTAGCCGTGAAAACAGGTCGCGACTTGACGTCTGTCGCCAAGGGAAGCAGTGAGCCGCTGTTCTTGGACTGTAGGGCCTTTGCGCGTTTATCTGCTTTGGCGGCGTCGTGCGTGCGGTCGTAGAGATATAGACCCACGAATGTGAGAACGAAGCCGAAGGCTTGAACTTTGGTCATGGGCTTGCCAAACCAGACGACTGCGAAGACGATGACGAAGACGCGCTTGATTAGACTGGCGACGGAGTAGGTGACTGGTGAGACCATGGATAATAGCACGAAAGCTACAATGTTTTGCCCAAAATGGAAGGTCCCGTTGAACAGAAATTCTAGAATCAGCCGCCCATGGTCCAGAGCTTCAGGGTGGTCTGATAGTTCGATGGAGGCGTCATGCAGAAAGTCGAAGATGAGTGTGAATCCTTCGGACCAAAGCCAGAGTGGGAGTGTGAAGAGGAAGGCTAGACCGGACGAGTAGCAGAGGAGGTTTAGTTTGTCTGGCTTAGTGAACTTGTTGGGTGGGAGACCGTCTTTCTCAGCGGCTGCGGCGTCGTTGAAGATCTGTTTGGAGACAATGTTCTGTACGACGAAGAGGATAGCGCTGGCAAATGCGGACATCAGGCCGATCAGGTTCGCATTGAAATCCGCCGAGCATGCCAGTATGACTCCCAGAGTAAGTGGTATAAGGGAGAGGTATGTTGGGATCGAGTATTGAATCTTGAAGAAGATGCTGTAGGCCATGACCGTCAGGAGCGGGGAGAGTCCCTTGATGGTGTGCACCAGCGACACAGGTATCCTCGACGTAGCATCGGCGCTGAGAATGTGTCCGCCGATCTGGAAGAGCGTCAAGGGCAGCGTAGCCATGATCAGTTCCCTGGATGGGCTGCGAATGCCGTATTTGAGGAAAGGCATCGTCTGCTTCAACCGCGGAAATTTCCTAGCGAACATGGCCATTATCAAACACCAGCCAGATACGAAGGCGAATTGTACGGTTGTAAGGGTGATGGGCTTCGGTAGGGCGGTCAGGATGGCCTTGGAGGACATGTTGGTGAAGATGGAGGTCATGTACCACACGCCGCAGAGCACCTGCGTCTGTTAGCCATGGACCATGCAGAGACGTGCATGACGCGACGTACGATGAGTTTGGGCGACAGCGGTGCCTTGAGCGCATCTGCGAGCTCATGCGCATTCTGGCTGACACTGCCCTTTCGCGTCCGTATTGTCCTGAAGGCCTCGGAAAGGCTCTTCTGTCGCCCGTGTCTGTTCGAGGAGCCCGACGAGGAGCCATTCATGCCCCCGAACCTGGCCTCTTTGCGCGGATGCCACCTATCCCCTGGTACCGTGCTGCCATTTGTCTGCGCTGCATGACTGGGGCTGGCGGACCGCGACGAGCTGAGGCCGTAGATGTTGTCTTCCTCGGGCGTGGGGAGCAGATCGGGCTGGAAGGCGGGAAACTTGAAGGTAGCGTTGGGACTCGGGTCCCGCGCCAACGGAGGCGTCATGGCGACTGCGGGATGGAAGGAGGTTGGGGTGTCGTAGAACTATTCGTTACGCCATGGGGGTGGGAGAAGCGATGTTGCAGGCGACTTGGTGCTATATGCGCGGAACAGTGGCGCACTCCTTTGCTACACGCAAGAGCACGAGGGCGGCACAATCAGCGGTAGCGGTGGTGGGGTACCGTGGATCGTCGAGAAGGATTATTCCACGAAGCGTGGTGTTGAAGGCAAGCGTCGCAATAGATCCGTAATTAGCGGAGAATTGTCTGGTTAGTGACATACGCGTTCCGGGCGTCGTGCAGCCGACAGGGATAGCAAATCACCAGCCCTCGTCAGCCAAGCTCCGTTGATGACTTCGGGAACTACCATGCATTCCGCACCTGCTGTGTCGGGCAGAGATCTTCTGCACCGATAACGACGTTCCTGTTCAAAACCACCTCTTTCGCTCCTCATCATGTGTCGAGGCTTCGTGCAACCCCGAGTATGTCTGTTCCGATGAACCGGCCGTCGCTGCCGTACTTGTTCTGTGCTGTCTTCCTCCTGCTGCAATTGGGTCATGCTGCGGAACATGGCCCGGTCGTAGCCCCACTACACCTAGTGAGCCGCCAGGAGAGTGCCTCCTTGATTGTTTTCAACGACACATGGCACGTCTTAGGGCCATTTCAGATTGGAACAAGAGGTACGTCATTGACCG